GTATGTCACTGTGTGAAAAGGCCCAGGGGATTCTATTCAATCTCATTTCCTACACTAAGCGATCCTTGGCCTTCCTGCCTTCTTTGTGCTTCCATGGTAATTTCAGTTCTATTATAGCATTTTTCAAATATACTCTTTCACTGTAGTTATTTATATATACATATCCTATACCTGCCATACTGTTATTAACCCAAGACTAAGGTAACCCCATATAAGATGTCAGAGTCTGTTGATCAAATTATATGTATTAGTATTAGTCCCACTTGCCCCTGTGAATAATGCAAGGGCCACACCTAAAGCCTAAAGGTACATCCTCTTATCTGTTCTTCACAGAAACTCTATGAAGTGTAGAGGGTGACTTTTCCCACCACATCATACTGCCTCCCCTCTCTGGTTCACATGTGAATCCCCACAGCACAAAGCACCGTTGGCATAGGACTGTTTCATCAATGACTGTGGAATTGACTTGGGTAGAAAAAGTGAGAAGTATAATGTGACACCAAAAGACCAAGTGACCTAGGTGAACTTGGATTATACCAGTTAACTCTTTTCTCAGCCCCTGTCTTACCGGTGACACTGTTATCTATCAGGTGTGTTAGCCACAGGACATATGAACAGATCCAAAAATTGTCAAGTTAAAAATCCAACTCAACTTTGAAAGGGCAGAAGAGTGTTAAATACAGAGGTGACTCTTATTAATATTGATTCTTCTCAACAAGGACAAGGCCCTTTCATCCTGCCACTACTTCCTGAGCGCCTATTGCATGCTCCTGGCTACACCAGACACAAGGATAAAAGACACAGTCTTTGTTTTCAAAGAGGTCACAGTCTAGTTGAGATAAGCAGGCAAAGAAACTATTTCTACACAAGGGATGCACATTATGAATACAGGTAAGCACAGGACGTTTGTTATAGCAGCAAAGAGGAGATACAATCCAATGAAGGCAAACTCAGAGGATATGATAATGCCTATACTGGGGCCCTGCCCACCTCTTTTCCAACCTCATCTTCTATCACTTGCCCTCTCCTACTTCATAATTCAGAAACCCTCTGGACATAATATGCTTTCCCAAGTCTCCAGGCTGCTGCATGTGAAATTTCCCCACCTGGAATATTCTATATTACATGACATTACATGTCATTACAGAAAACTCCCTATTTCATCCTCCCTCCATCCATGTGTTCACTGAAGCACTGCCCCCCCCTCCCCAAGTAGGGCTTTCCAGGACAACCCCAGGCCCAGAAGAGAGTGCTGCTTCTCCAGTGGGAAGAGCCCAGCCTTGTAGACTGACAGCTCTGAGTTGAAATGCCGACTGGGCCACTTTCAAGCTAGGTGAATTTCAGCACATTTTTTCACATCTCTGAACCTCAGTTGCCTCATCTGTAAAAGGGGTACTAATATCTTCCCTAGAAGGTTGCAAGGATTCAAGGTAGTGTGTGTATAAATCCCTGACCACAGTAAAGGCCCCCAATTTATTGAATTCTAGCAAATACTCCCTGGTAATTGATAACTATCAGTAATTACACCTTGTGATGTTCAAACACACACACACACACACACACACACACAAGTACATTACAACCATATGGATATTTTGGCATGTGACCCCTGGGAAACCTAAAAAGCAGTTTGATGATACATTTTCCCCAGGAACAATTCTGTCCTCATTGAGGCAGAAAAAATAATGTAAGGTGGGATTTACATAAAGGATCTTCTATAAGAGAAAAGAGCTGCCCCAAGAAAAGCTTCACCTCGAGAGCTCATTTCATTTAAAAAGAAAAATCAATAAAAAACAAACAGCATATTCTAAAGGAAATTAGTCAGGAGTAATTATATAACTCAGGAGTAATAATTATAACCTCCCAACACTACTTGCTATAGGACATTGTACCCTTTAAAACTATAATCCAAGCAGCCTACAATGAGAAGGTAAACTATTCACTAGTAATATTTTCATCCCATAGCCTAGTACCTCCTAGAGCTCCCCATTTTAAAAATAGTCATTTTTGTTTGTCCCCAAAATGCATGACTATTAAAAAAGAAATAAATCTTTTCCCTTATGGTATCCTGCTTTGCTCATTAATGTTTAGAAATACAGTCCAAGTCAGGAAATCTCAATTACAAGCTCTGCTATTATGCAAGCACAAAACACTTAGAAGGAAAACAAGATGGTGAATAAAGAGGAAATGAATGTAAAGTCAAGGATCAGATGGCTTCACAGGGGAATTCTACCAAGCATTTAAAGAAGAGTTAATACCTATTCTTCTCAAACTATTTCAAAAAACAAAAGAGGAAGGAAAGCTTCCAAATTCATTCTATGAGGCCAGCATTACCCTGATACCAAAACCAAATAAAGACACTACAAATAAATAGAACTACAGGCCAGTATCTCTGATAAACATACATGCAAAAATCCTCAACAAAATATTAGCAAACTGAATCCAACAATACATTTAAAAAATCATTCACCACAATCAAGTGGGATTTATTCCTGGGACACAAGGATGGTTCAACATAAGCAAATCAATCAATGTGATACATCACATCAACAAGAAAAAGGATAAAAACCATACGATCATTTCAACAGATGCAGAAAAAGCATTTGACAAAGTACAACAACCATTCTTGATAAAATCCTCAACAAAGTAGGTTTAGAGGGAACACACCTCAACAGAATAAAGGCCATATATGAAAAACCCACAGTTAACATCATACTCAATGGGGGAAAACTGAGAGCTTTGCCCCTAAGGTCAGGAACAAGACAAGAATGTCCACTCTCACCATTTTTATTCAACATAGTACTGGAAGTCCTCGCCATAGCAATCAGACAACAAAAAGAAATAAAAGGCATCCAAATTGATAAGGAAGAAGTAAAACTTTCACTATCTGCAAATGACATGATACTATATATATGAAAAACCCTAAAGACTCCCCCAAAACAACTACTAAAACTGATAAATGAATTCAGTAAGGTCACAGGATACAAAATCAATATACGGAAACCCAGTGCATTTCTATACATTAATAATAAAGTCATTGAAAAGGAAATTTAGAAAACAGTCCCATTTAAAATTGCATTAAAAATAATTTTTAAAAACTAAGAATAAACTTAACCAAGGAAGTGAAAGACTTATACTCTGAAAAGCATAAAACATTGATGAAAGAAATAGAAGATGACACAAACTAATGGGAAGATATTCCATGCTCATGAATCAGGAGAACAAACATTGTTAAAATGTTCATGGTACCTAAAGCAATCTACAGATTTACTGCTATCCTTATCAAAATACGAACAGCATTTTTCACAAAACTAGAACAAATAATCCTAAAATTCATATGGAACCACAAAAGATTCTGAATAACCAAAACAATCTTGAAAAAGAATAACAAAACTGGGGGTATCACAATCCCAAATTTTAAGATATACTACAAAACTATAATAATCAAACCAGTATGGTACTAGCACAAAAACAGACCAATGGAACAGAATAGAGAGCCCAGAAATAAACCCACAATTATATGGTCAATTAATCATCGACAAAGGAGGAAAGAATATCCAATGGGAAAAAGTCAGTCTCTTCAACAAATGGTGATAGGAAAACCAGAAGTCTCTTCAACAATGCTGTTGGGAAAACTGTACAGCTACATGCAAAAGAATGAAACTGGACCACTTTCTTAGACCATACACAAAAATAAACTCAAAATGAATTAGAGACCTAAATGTAAGACCTAAAACCATAAAAATCCTAGAAGAGAGCACAGGCAGTAATTTCTCTGGCATCAGTCATAGCAATATCCTTCTAGATTTGTCTACTATGGCAAGGGAAACAAAAGCAAAAATAAACTACTGGAACTACATAAAAATAAAAAGCTTCTGCACAGCAAAGGAAACAATCAACAAAACTAAAAGGCAACCTAGTGAATGGAAGAAGATATCTGCAAATGACATATCCAATAAAGGGTTAGTATCCAAAGTACACAACTCAACACCCAAAAAACAAATAATACAATTTAAAAAAGGCAGAAGACATGAACAGACATTTCTCCAAAAAAGACATCCTGATGGCCAAAAGACACATGAAAGAATGCACAATATCACTCATCATCAAGGAAATGCAAATCAAGACCACAATGAGATATCACCTCATACCTGTCAGAACGACTAAAATCAAAAACACAAGAAACAAGTGATGGTGAGCATGTGGAGAAAAAGAAACCTTCGTGCACTGTTAGTGGGAATGCAAACTGGTGTGGCAACTGTGAAAAACAGTATGGAAGGTCCTCAAAAAATTAACAATAGAATTACCATATGATCCAGTAATTCCATTACTGAGTATCTACCCAAAAAATACAAAAACACTAATTCAAAAAGATGTATATACCCCAATATTCATAGCAGCATTATTTACTATAGACAAATTATGGAAGCAACCCAAGTGTCCGTGGATAGATAAATGGATAAAGAAGAGTTGGTGTATATATACAATGGAATATTACTCAGCCATAAAAAAAGACTGGAATCTCGCCATTTGCAACAATATGGATGGATGTAGACAATATAATGTTAAGTGAAATAAGTCAGAGAAAAACTAACATCATATGATTTCACTCATATGTAGAATTTAAGAAACAAAGCAAATGAATAAAGAAAAAAAGAGGCAATCAAGAAAACAGATTCTTTTTTTTTAAAGATTTTTATTTATTAATTTGACAGAGAGAGACACAACGAGAGAGGGAACACAAGCAGGGGGAGTGGGAGAGGGAGAAGCAGGCCTCCCGTGGAGCAGGGAGCCCGATGCGGGGCTCGATCCCAGGACCCTGGGATCATGACCCAAGCCGAAGGCAGATGCTTAATGACTGAGCCACCCTGGCACTCCAAGAAAACAGATTCTTAAATATAGAGAACAAACTGATGATTGCCAGAGAGGAAGATGGGTGGAACAGGTGAAGGGAATTAAGAGTACACTTACTGACATGGGCACTAGAATTGTTGAATCACCTGAAATCTAAAATTGTACACCTGAAACTAATGTAACACTGTATGCTAATTATACTAGAATTGAAATAAAGAAAAAGGAAATGAATGTATATCATTCCTATGTGCTCTTGCAAAAAAAAAAACCAACGGTAATAATAAAGCACAAAAAAACAAAAACCAAAAAATTCTGAAAGGAATGATTTAACTATCAAGGGAAAATTTCTAAGACTATCAAGAGATACCAACCTTCTCCCCCAAACAGAATTGTCTTCCTACAATAGGAAGTAGTTTTCACCACACAATTCTCCCTCCTCTGAAATCTTGTGTTATATATAGATATCGATATATACACATATATATCGAAATCTATATTCTATATCTATATCTATATCTCTATATTACATTCACCCTGTAGTAAAGATTTTTGCTTCTAGGCCTTACCTCTCCATTATATGAGAAACATTCATCTTTATAGGATCCATATAGTCTAGATTAGTGTTTCATAAGAAGGAGGTTGTGATCCATTCATGGTTATAAACTCAAGTTAGTGGGTCACAGTCAGCATTTCTTTCAAACAAAATTACATGCTACTCAGCAACCTGGCTACAGAATTTTAAATTATGTCAATCAGGAAATTTTAAAACTCTAAATGTCCTGAACCATTATGACCCTGTGAGGATACGAATTCTAGGGCATGTTTGCTTCCTGCTTGAGAGATAACTGCCTGCTAAATTACATTCTAAGATGTAATTACAGTTCAGGCAACAAGAGTCATTTCACAAAGTTAATGTAGAGTTAACGAATGTTACAGACAGCAAGTACTAGCGGAGCCCAGGGAAGGATAGCTCTTACTAGGCTGGGTCAACTGGGGAAGGTTTCCCTGAGGAGGTGGAGTTTAAGCAGGGCCCAGTAAAGGCCTGGACTGGAAAAGAGGAGGGGAGAAAAAACCATAGTGCCAGCTGGCCTGGCCTGAGGCTGACAGAACAAAGGGACTGAAGAGGCTATTGTAATAGTTTAGCTTGGAATTGTGTGGGTTTATAAAAGCTAGTAAGCCTGGAAATGCAAAGGAAGGGGCATAAAGTAGGAAGGAATCATGGAAAAGTCTTGTGGCTAATTGGACTTTGGTATAGAGGTGAAGGTGAAGGAATCAGATGATACTCTAATCCCAGGTGACCAGGAGGAGATTAGTACCATTGACAGTACTGTGAAAAAAAATCCAAGGAGTTTTAGAAGGGCGTGTTATGTAATGACATTAATATTTTTTATAAAAGTTTAACTTGCTTTGAACACCCATACCTCTCAGTTGCACCTAACTATCCATATGAGGGATGCTAACCAGTTTAAGCAGCATCCTATTTTTAAGGCGCCCACTACTTGGAAGAACCAAGGCTGATACTCAGCCAGTTATTAAAATATTGAAATCCTTCTATACCGGTTAGCAAATAATTATCTCAGCACCTTGAGTGATGCCCACCCCCACTCTATGCCCACCCATCCCACTGTCCCAGTTCCTTCTCCAGACCTCAGGTCTAAAGAACTAACCCATGGCACTATAAAAGGCCTCAGCTCTATGACCAGCTTCTCTTCTAATTGGTCAGTGTGTATGCCATATTGATAGTACTAGGCAAAATATAATAAAAGCAAGTGTTAACAGCATTCAGAAAAGGGAATAATCACCTCAGCTTGGGCCAGTTATTGATTTAAACAACTGTTGAGAGTGTACACTGTAGATACACTGATAGGTGTGGTCCCAGCAGTCAGGCTGCTCATATCCTAATACAGAGAACAACATATAAACAAATCACTGCAATCCAGAGTAGTAGTAAAAAAGAAGTATTTATAAAGTGCAACGGAAAGCACAAAGGGGATATTAGTCAATACACAGCCTGGGAAGAGAAACAAAGCAGTCCCATAAAGTTTCACAGAGGTGATATAAGACCTGAGCCGTGAAGGATGGACAGGAGTGCCAGGCAGAGAAAGGAGGAAGATAAACCATTCCAAGCAGAGAGATACCAGTACTGTATGAGCCAAATCCCAGCACAGTGTGTATAAAACAATGAAATGACCAATGTGTAATGCCTGGCACAGTGTCAATAAGAAATAACAATATATAATAAATATTAGAGATTCTTTTCTAGCAGAGTTATTTCTCTGATTATGTTTTTAAAGGCTGATCCTAAAATCCATTTGTTTTGTCTAAGCCTATACAAGCTGAACAAGGGATAGGGCAATCAAAATATCCTGGAAGGCATGGGTGAGGCAGTTGGGAATTTAAAAATGAAGCACATGGAATTCACAAATCAACTAGAGTTGTCTGCACATCTTAGATGTGTGTAAGCAAAGATGAAACAAGAACAGTGAATTAATTGGGAATGTGAAACAGGAGCAAAAAAACAACAGAAGACCCCCCACTACTTTTCCAATTAACAAAGACGGGCTTCCTGGAGGGGAATATTTTTTAACAGAAGGAAACAAGCAAGTGCTAAACAGGCCAGACGCCTTGAAGATTCAAGAAGTATTTAAAGAATAAATCTTCAGAGGAAGACCAATAGGCAAGAGTAAATGTATGTATATGCTTGTCTGGAGTGTGAAATGGAGAAAGATCATCTAGAGAACAGAGATTACAGAAAAATGACTATAAATTCAAACTAATAAAAGGGTTTGGCAATGTTAAAAATTTAACTGCAAAAAGCCCTTCTGGAAATCTTTAAAAACCATGATCCATATTTTTTGGAGAGTAACTTCCCCGGCATCTTAGCCAACATTCATTTCACCATGTTACACTCAAATTCTTCAGAGATGAACCAAAGACTAGGGGTATGTAAGTAACAGCAAGATGCTCTCTTATACCTTGCCTAATGTTGGATATTTGCATTTAATGTTTTCAATAACACAGAACATAACATGCAGTGTCATTCTATCAGCACAGCTCCACATGTACAAAGCTTGGTACTGCAGCCTCCCAGACCCACAGATGAATGAGACCCAACATTGCTGTCTTTGAAGAGATCACAGAGAGGTGGTCAGCAAATAGTAATTACCTTCTCTTTTAAACTACGGTCATTTTCTAGAAATCAGACTTCGTAAAAGGCAAACAGATAGCCTGTTTTGGTCTGCACTAGCCACACCAGTCATTGTCATTTAAAGCCAATTGTTTAAGAGAAAGGAAGAATCTTAGGCCAAGGAGAAGGGAGTCATCACCACTGCTTTCAGAAATTTTTGTATGAGCTGCTCCCTCGAAGGAAGAGGCCATCAGTGCTCAGGAAGTGACGGAGGTTTCCGGCAGTTTTAAAGGATAGTGTCTGCAGTGTGACCCACGGTTCAAACTGTATAAAAATAAGAATTCACTGACAAACGATAACAAGTACTTCCTCACTTTCATATCGGCTGAATCAGAGCCATTGTTTGGGTTGTAGTTCTTTTTTAAATTAGGTTATTAAATCACAATGATGCAGGCCAAACATGCTAGTCATAAGCCATCAGGAAAACTTATCAAAAATACCAGTGCCAAGGTTTAAGTGCACATACACACACTTCTGCACTAATAAAATCTGATCAGTACCAAGGGTATCTTTCAAAAACTGTTTTTTCTCTCCTGAAAACCACAAAGGAATGTTTTGTAAAGTAGCAAAAAGAGAAAGGAATTTGCAGACAGATCTGAGTTTGAATGCCAATTCTGCCACCTATTAGAGCTATTCGAATTTGAACAAGTTACTTCATGTCTGCAGGCTTGTTTTCTTATATGTAAAATGAAAAAAAAAATAGTACCTATCTCAGAGGGGTCTTTTTTTTTTAAGTAGGCTCCACCCCCTCAGCATGGAGCCCAACGCCTTAATTCACCCCCGAGTGGTGCTCTCAGACCTGAGCTGAGATCAAGATTCTGATGTTTAACTGACTGAGCCACCCAGGGCACCCCTCAGAGATGTCTTACGATGATTATGTAGGATAATACATGCATGCAAGTACCTAGCAAGGGTCTGAAGGAAGTGAGAGCTTGATGCATTACTAGTATATTTTGTAGAGCATGTTTTATTAGCATGCACCTCCCAAATCTGAAACCACTGCCAAATACACGCAAAAACATACACAAGGTACATGTTTAATATTACTACTTATGAGGAAGAAATTGTCATATAAAACTTTTTTAAAAGATTTCATTTATTTATTTATTTATTCATTTATTTATTGAGAGAGAGCATATGCACAGGCGTGCGCGCACAAACTCGCGCACACACGCACACACACACACAAGTGTGGTTTGGGGGAGGGGCAGAGGGAGAAAGAGACTCTCAAGAAGACTCCGGCTGAACACAGAGCCCGAGGCAGGGATGCATCTCACCACCCTGAGATCAGGATCTGAGCCAAAATCAAGAGTTGGACACTTAACCAACTGAGCCACCCAGGTACCCCACTGATATAAAACTTTAGCAAAAAAAAAACCCCACAAAAAACAAAAAAACTTTAGCAATTTGTTCCAACTTTTTGCTTAAAACAATATGACCTTGCAAAGCAAAATTAAAAAAAAGAAAATTTGCAGTTATCATGGAACTGAAAACAGCAACAAGGCAATGACTTGGTGACAGTGAAAGTCTCTAACACACTAAATATCACACGGCCTGGTATATGGTGGTATGTTTTTGCTTCTGATTTTTTTTTTAATTTTATTTATTTGACAGAGAGAGAGAGAGAGAGACAGTGAGAGAGGGAACACAAGCAGGGAGAGTGGGAGAAGGAGAAGCAAGCTTCCTGCGGAGCAGGGAGCCCGATGCGGGGCTCAATCCCAGGACCCTGAGATCATGACCTGAGCCGAAGGCAGACACTTAACGACTGAGCCACCCAGGTGCCCCTGCTTCTGACTTTCTATCCAGTGCTGTGATAGACAGTGTAATATACCTTTAGTTACACATTCATCACTATATGAATTATGTAGCTCTGAGGAAAGGTACAAATCACAAAACTAAAAGGTGACTGAGTATCTTATTTCTAAAGAATTTTAAAATAATCTGTAGCATCACTTTCATCACCCCATATGCTGAAGATTCTGAATCCACATCTCAAAGGACTGCTTATTTCCTCTTGGGGATCAGAATAATATAATTAGAATCATGGTTCAAATAGCCAGGTTTCTTGTAAAAGTAGTTAAAGAGATTAGCTTAAATTTTCAGTTTAATATCCTTTAAAATGATAATACTTTATTAAACTGAAGAATAATACTATCATTCTAAGCACCATGTTTAAAGATGAGACCACTAGGGGCGCCTGGGTGGCTCAGTCGGCTGAGCATCCGACTCTCGATTTCGGTTCCACTGGCGTCATGATCTCAGGGTCCTGGAATCGAGCCCCATAAGGGGAGTCTGCTTCTCCCTCTCCTTCTGCCCTCCCCCCCCTGGTTCTCTCTCACTCACATGCACTCTCTCTCTCTCTCTCTTGCTCCCTTTCTCTCTCTCTAAAATAAATAAAATCTTAAAAAAAAAAATGAGACCACTATCCAGGCTTTCAGAGAAAACAAATACATAGGTATGTTTACCTGAACTTGACTTTCTAATCAAGGTAGACTTTCAAAAGCAAGTGCCAAATGGTGACCTCTGTTCCTCTGAGTTAGTGGACAAAAGAGGAACATTCAAATGAATAGAAGACGAATATATAGCATTGACTAATTCATGCAGCATAGATGAGCAACATTTACATGAACTTTAATTAACTTATTCCAAGCCAAATTTTGTACACAGACTGTTGGGAAAGCTTAAAAAGGAGGATTCCCTAATGAAACTAGGGTAAACTATACTGAGCACCAAATTTAAGGGGACAATTTCTAAAGTAGTGACCTCACTCCTGCCCTACCAGTTTAGTCTCCTCTTTTATTTCTTGGAGAATACCTTTTTGTGATCATCAGTGGAGGTCTCTTGACATCCTTTACTCTAGAATGTATACAGCCCTCCAAAAAGATCTCATAGTCTATATCTTAGAAGGTTTCATAATTCCCTTCTGTTGTTAACATGGTCCATTATTTAAAGGTCCATTCATTTAAAAGCCTTCTTTTTGTAACACAAAAGTCAAGTCAGAAGAAAGTTCTGTATTGTTAAAACCTCCATTATGATTTTTTTTTCTCTCCAAAATTATCCAGCCTGGTGTTAGAGAACTGACTTTATTACTGTCTAATCTGGAATTCCTTAACAAATGTGACTTCCACACTATCTCTAATTTAGGCCATGAATTACACAATCTTCTGTCTATTCCAGAAATACAGCTAGTACAGAAGCAACATAGATCAAGGGCTCTGATGTCAACAGAGCTCCGTTTAAATCCTGGCACTATCACTTATCAGCTATGTGATAATGGATATATCACTTTACCTCTGAGCCCTTTATTTCTTTATAAAAAAGATGTAGTACCTCCTTGCAGGGTGGGATAATATATTAAGAGCACTTAGGCTGTACCTGTCACAAGGTGAATGCATTTACTCTGGGGAGCAGAGCAGTGCTTTGCCCCTTACCACTTCAACACCAAGTTATGTTCTTAAAATCAATGAAAGATTGAGAGAAGGAACACCATGCATGTACCAATGGAAATAGTAATAATACTGACCTCGTACTTTTGAGGGCCCACCTCTTGCCTCATAGAGTCTGAGCCCCTGTCCCAGTATTTCTGATCTTTCAGTTCCCCCAACATGGACTGCTCCTTCCTACCTTAGGATACACCCTCTACCTGGGCAGAAATCTCAATCATCTCCCTTCTCCTGGCTAACTCCTATTTAGCTTCCCAGTCTACTTTGATACCATTGCTGCCTATAGGATTCTCTAATACACAAGACTCAGGACTCCATTGTAGATCCCACAACAAACTACTTCCTTAAAGCACACATTATCACACTTGTAATTACTTATCACTATGTTCTTTCCCACTAAACTGTAAACTTCATGAGGTCTGTCTTTGCTTTCCACTTATCCTCAGCTATCAACATAGTGTATGGCACATTGGAAGAGTTCAATAAATATTTCTGGATGAATGTACAATTGTGCTTCTTTACTATATGTTAGATATCATATCTACTGTAATAGAATAATACTTCATCTTCATTGTATCATAACCAACTTGCAGAGCTGTTCAGAGAAAGCTCCTAAAGAAATCTGACTTTAATAAATCTGCTTTTTCTTAACCCATGTGGGCATCCCCACAACATGAGCAACAAGAAAGAGAACACCATGAGCTTGACAGAGATAGGACAGTTGACCCTCTTCAGGTGCAGCACTGTGTGGCAACTTGGAACTGATGTATGTACGTAATAGAAAGTAAGGATTTACTAATATACATAGTTAATTGGCTTCTTTTGCAAATGAATCATAAAAAGTACTGCCTTACCTTAGCTCTCTAATAAATATGGGCAGTACACAATTGCCACAGAAGTAGGCTTTAAGGGGACATTTTTCCTAATGTCTTCATTCTTTATCCTTTCCCTGGCCCTCACCCAGACACAAAACAAAGAGCAAACTTTGCTGTACTCCCTTCCATGATTCTTTCTCTGTATATATGTGGGGAGAAGAATCAGTACAGAAAACTAGCTACAGCTTTCAGGTCATCAGAGTAAGAGAATGTGAATAAGTGGGACTGTTTTTATTTGCCTGGCATTCTACATTGTTTCCCAAAAGGATTTTAGACAGTTGAGAATCAATTTCCATACCGTTTCCCGCCCTACACACACACACACACACACACACACCCTTTCCTTATCTCCTTGTATAGGGAAGCAGGAGAGAGGCGGAAAGATACAGATTCAACAAACATTTGTAATGATGATACTCTAGAACTATAAAACTTACCTATGGGCAGTATATGCTATGGAGTATGGATACTTACAAGATAGAGTTCCTGCTTTAAAAAGGGAGTAAGACAAAAGTACAAAAGACCTTAACACAAGGCTAGATAAGACATGTGCCATGAGAGAAGTACAAAGACAGATCTGACTGATCACACACTTTCCAGGAGATTAAGAAACACCTCATGGAGGAGGTAGGAGGTGTCTGAGATGAGGCTGAAAAAAAGGATAGGATTGATAAAGGGGGGAAGGGTATTGGGAGAGGTATTCCAGACAAAAGGAACAATGTGGGTTAAAGCATAGAAACAGGAAAAGAATGAGCATGTGTGAAGAATAGATTAGCACACTGGAAAGGTGGGTGGGGGTTACAGGGTGAAAGGCCTTGAATACTACAGGATTTTGTTCTAAATAAAGCAAACAATCAGCTGGGGTGCCTGGGTGGCTCAGTCTGTTAAGCATCTTCCTTCGGCTCAGGTCATGTTCTCAGGGTCCTGGGATAGGGCCTTGGCGTCAGGCTCCCTGCTCAGTGGGGAGTCTGCTTGACCCTCTCCCTCTCCCTCTGCCCCTCCCCGTGCTTGTGCACTCTCTTGCACTCTCTCAAATAAATAAATAAAATCTCCCTAAAAAAAAAAGCAAACAATTAGGAATCATTGCAGGCTCTGAGGAGAAGAGTGCTTGATGGGAGAAGAAGTGATTAATGTGACCCATGGGGACTGCAGTAGAGGGCTAACTGCAGGAAGCAAGGAGGACCTTCAACCTCACATAATCCACCTTTCACTGTCCCTCACCCCATCCTCACTCCCTTCCTTACTTGGCTGAAATTTCATGGTCAATGAATAAATTACTCCCTTGCATATGCCCCTGAATCCCCATGACTCTCTCTCTCTCACTTTCTTTTACTGGTTTGGCAAAAAGATAATCCTGGTTAAAAAGAACTCTCCACCAACTTTTCATTCATACCCAAGAAAGTAAAGGTAGCTAGACAAACATACAGCCTATCAAATGGTCTTACCAACATGCATGAGACTTCAAAGCTGCCTGTAATCAAACTGTAATTCCCTAGTCCATTTACTTTCCTTCTCTGCTAGAGGAGTATCTCTCTTCTCTTTCCTCCTCACTGTCTTCATCCCCTGCTACCCTCTTCCAGCCATACTGGCCTCCTTGAGTTGTTCCTGCCAGGAACATCTACCTTCAGGTTTTTGTACTTGCTTTTCTCTATGTCTTGAATGCTCTTGCCCCAGTGCCTAGAAGAGTGCCTTGCAAATAGTAAGAACTTAGCAAAAATAGAGTAAATGAATTTGGAAACATGTTGTACATTCAAGTTTTCTATTTTGCTTTTTTCATTTATCAGTAATTCATGAACATTTCCCACATTACCAGATATACTTCAAGACCATCATTTTGAAGGCATAATAATATTTCATTTTATGGATGTACCACAAATTATTTATAATTTGGGATTGAGAAACCAGGAAATTTACAAGTGGGATATTTTGCATGTTTCTTCCTTTGATCTTTCTGAAGCTTGACAGTTTCACCTCTAAAAATGAGCATAATATCTACCTCACAGGATTGTTTTAAAGACTGAATGTGGAATATAAATAGAGAGACAATCAGTTTTGAAAACAGAGGCATCAGGAAGTCAACTGAATGAAAGATCATAAATCTTGGAAGCAAAAGATTAAAATATATTGTCCCTCAATAGCTTGATCAAGTCACTTAACTTCTATGAACCTCAATTAAACCATCTATTCTTAAAAGTGACTGTAATAATTAAAAGGAGGTATGTAAAAGAGTTTAAAATAATACCTGGCCCAGATAAGACAATCAATAAATGTTTATTCATTCACTGCTCATAAACAACAATGACTACTTTTCCTAAACTGTGAACCAGAATAAAAAAGATATTAAAAAAAGGATTTTTATAACTCCCCAATAACATACACATTGTCAATGCAAAGGTTTCCTTTTGATGGACACTTATAAAGCATAATTCAGATTTTTTACATAAATCTCTGTATCAGTTTTGTTTCCTTTATTATGAAAAAGACAGGCAAAACAATTATTTTAAATACTGAGTGACAGTATGAATAAATAAATTCCTTTATTAATCACATGCTTCAATGTATATACACATCAGGTCAGTGAAATATCATGATAATGATAAGTTGAGCAAGAAAATATCAAGTAGACCAGCCTCACTTCAGGGATTTTTATGTTTTTTTAAGATTTATTTATTCATTTATTTATTTGACAGACAGAGAGACAGAGAGAGAGCACAAGCAGAGGGAGAAGGAGAAGCAGGCTCTCTGCTGAGCAGGGAGCCTGATGCGGGACTTGATCCCAAGACCGCAGGATCATGACCCAAGCCGAAGGCAGGTGCTTAACCACTGAGCCACCCGGGGGTGCCACCTTCAGGGATTTTTTTGAAGCAATCTGTAAATTGCAGCCACATAATGCCAAGACATCACACATTTGTCAGTCCTTTTCCATATTTTTCAGATACAAGCTTGAGTATGTGTGACTGGAATGGCCAACAAGTATGTGAAGTCCTCCAGGATGTAATCATCTCTGCTTTCCTGGGACCTAGTACAGTGCCTGACATATAAAAGGAAGTGGATGAACACTGAGTAGGTGGATGGGTGGGTGAGTAAGAGAATAATTGAGTATGGTAGTCATTAATGTTGTTTCTCCTTCTAGGATCTCCAAAGTCAGTATTTTTTATCTCCCTGCCCTGTCCTTAGATGCAGCAATACAACCAGTTTGGGCCAAGGAATTATGAAAGGAAGTGATGTGCAATTTCCAGACTGGAGCATTTATTATTTTTCTATGTTCCTTTTTCATTGCTATGGTGATCACGAAAGTGTATGTTGAGAGAAAGCCTCCATAAGCTCCTTAGTCTCTAAGTAAATGTAATGAGGGAACCCTCTGCTCACCCCAATGGAAATACAGTTTGAGTCATACATTTTGGGGGGTTTAAGTCACTAAAATTTTGTAGTTCTGCTACAGCAGCATAGCCTAGCCTTATCCTGACTAGTACAATAAGCAAGGTAATGACATTTGCTTTAGAACTAGAAACTCATTAGAGTTTATTTTCAGAAAAACAAAATGAGACAGATAAGCATCTTGAACATGTAACTCAACCTCTCTGTATGATCGTTCTCTCACAATAATAGCATCTACCTCATAGAACATTAAATAAATGAATGTCTAGGGCTCCTAGGTGGCTCAGTCGGTTAAGCGACTGCCTTCGGCTCAGGTTATGATCCTGGAGTTCTGGGATCAAGCCCCGCATCGGGCTCCCTGCTTAGCAGGGAGTCTGCTTCTCCCTCTGACCTTCCCCCCTCTCATGTGCTCTCTCTCTCTCTCTCTCATTCTCTCTCTCAAATAAATAAATAAAATCTAAATAAATAAATAAATGTCTATTACGTACTTAGAACCTAGGACATATAAAGCTTTCAATACGCAGTAGCAGATTATTAGTATCACTAGTGCATTCAATAATTTATACAGTACATATTTCATTTTATTCTCCCTCCTCTTACTCCTTATTCATTTTAATTTATAGCCAATTTTTTCCATTCAAAAAATCTTTATTAAGAACTACTACGTAGGGACGCCTGGGTGGCTCTGTCGGTTAAGTGTGTCTGCCTTTGGCTCAGGTCATGATCCTAGAGTCCTGGGATCGAGCCCCACGTTGTCGTAGTCCAGCTCCCTGCTCAGCGGGGAGAGGAGTGTGCTTCTCCCTCTGCCTTTGCCCCTCCCCCTGCTCTCATACTTTCTCGCTCACTCACTCTCTCAAATAAATAAATAAAATCTTAAAAAAAAAAAAGAACTACTATGTAGAGGGCACTGTGCAATGCTCTGGCAATATGATGACAAATAAGGTAAGACATGTCATCAAGGTCTTTTCCTTCCCTATGATTCTTTTTTCTCCAATCCACCCATAATCAAGCAAACTTTAAAATCATAAATATAAATACAGTGTTCTATGTTATACTTTGTTAATGGTAAAGCTGAGTAATTTTAATTAAAAAAAAAAACCTTTACATGATAGGAGTCTGTCTAATTTAAAGTTGAGATGGAAAAACTGTTTAGGTCTGCTATGCCAAAGGCAATTAATGGCAAGGGGAAAAACAGAACTTGTACTCAAATCCCCACTGCTCCTAATACAGGGCCCTATAGACAGGAAGCACTCAGTGAACAGAATTACAGACGCATCACAGGTCACCAGGTCCAATCCTCTTATCTTACATAAGAGATCTTACACTGAGATCTAGAGGCAAGCAACTTACCCAAGGTCATTCCATGAGTTAGTGACAAGTCTGATACTAGAACCCAAACTTCAAAAATGTCTTAAGTGCTTTAAAGTCCTTGCAATATGCTGCAGAGGGATATAAATGACAGTGCAAAACTTTAAAATTAATTTTTACTGAAATTATATTTTAGCATTAACTTATAAAACATTGAAAGCTATCAGAAAGATAGTGTTAGATTTAGTATTATTATAAAATAGAAAAGATACTTGCAAAAATCTAAAAGGATACATTCATTATATGTCCCCGCCGCAATTTACCAAAACGCAAAAGAGCATAGAAAAAAATAATAGAAATAGCTTCCTACACTTTTCATTATGTATCAGTCTTGTGTGAAAGAAAATTATTTCAAACAAGGAAAACGTTAATTTCTTTGCCTTATTTACAAGTATATTAAATTATATCCCACTGATAAAAAGGAATATATATATTATTTATGTAACTGAAAAGAGTTCATACAAATTTTCATATTTTCTAGAATAACTATTTTAGGTATGGTAAGTGATGATTTGAATATTTTATTCTGTGTGGAGAGGGGGTAAGTTAAAGCCATATATATTAAGAAACCGCAAGATAAAATAAAAATATTTATCATTTTTTGAGTAAAGTGATATCTAAACTGTGCTATTAAGTCCTTTACACATATTAGCTCATTTCACAACAAATCTGTGAGATGAACAGTATAATTATCCCCATCTTGCTGATTATAAAAACAGATGCTCAGAGTAATCTGTCTGAAGTTACTCAGCTAATGGGAGAAATAGAATTTGTTCTCAAACTTGTATGGTAATCAATCTCTATCAAGTTCCTGACTCTTCATAATTTAGATCAAAGTTACTTCATCATATCTAAGGGGTGGACCGCATGATCTCTAAAACCCCTTCTGGCAATGAGTCTAGGGGTAAAAACAGAAATCAATTCAGAAGTCACATAATATTTGTGACGTACACTCTGGGCCTAAGGGGAAAGCCATCAATAGATGAACCGATAACAAAAAGTGGAGAAGAGGGGAAAAAATAAAAAGGAGAGGAGGAGGAGAAAGATCAATATTTTACTAGACGTTAGGGTCACTGTGGCATGAGTGGAAAAGGGGAACCTGGAGTAGGAACTAAAAGAACCATAATGGATGTACATAAATAGAAACAGCTTAGCCCACTGATGTGACGGCCTCACAGCAGACAAGGAAGGAGCTGTGGGAAGGCTTTGCAGAAGTCAGTGGCCATGAGCTTAACACTGGGTCAAGTTGCAGAGTTCTAACATAAACACTGGTCAGTAGTTAAATAGGAATAGTTGAGTATAGATTACTGACCACTAAGTTTCTAGAAGAGGCATTATCACAACTGTCATGCATTTGGTTCAATCTGAAATGCTAACACTATGGGGATTGTGGTTTTAGGACAGAATGGGGAAGAAATTTTACTCTATTATGTTTACTCTATTTACTCTATTATGTTCCTTAAAGTTCCTACCATCTCCCAGGCACTATGCATGTGCTTTCATGTGTTACCATATTGAACCCCCACAACAACCTTGGTAGAAGTAATGGTTAATTTTACCTGTCAACTTGGCTGGGCTACAGTGCCCATATATTTGATCAAACATTCTGGATGTTTCTAGGAAGCTGGTTTTTTGGAAAAGATTGATACGTACATCAGTGGACTTTGAGTAAAGCAGATTTACCCTCTATAATGTGAATGGGTCTCATCCAACCAGGTGAAAGCCTGAATAGCAAAAAAGATTGACCTCTCCTGAGCAAGAAGGAATTATGCAAGCAGGCTCTCTTTTGACTCAAACTGCAACTCTTCTCTGGGTCTCCAGGCTGCCAGTCTACCCTGTAGATTTTGAACTTACCAAGCCTCCATAATCATATGAACTAATTCCTTAAAATAAATCTCTGTGAAAAGAGGGATACAGACACACAGAAAAACATTCTTTTGGTTGTTTCTCTAGAGAACTCTAATACAGTAAATATTGTTTCCTAGTAACACTGAGGAAAATGAGAGCCTCAAAGGACCCATTCTCTTTTCCCACTACATCACACAGTAAAATGCCCTCAGGACTCACATTCTACTCTGAGGGGCTAGGCTGGGAGATGGAGGGTAATGAGAAGAAGGGAAACCTTGTAACCACAAGCCATAGATTCCAAGGAGCCCCTTACAACCCTGGCATCACACATGTACCCAAAGCCCGGATGTAACCAAGTGATGTACTATCCTTTGTCTGGTCTCCTGATTCAGTTACTTTGGATTAAAAAAAAACAAATACAAAAAAATTCCTACTAAATCAACAACCTTTGAAGACTTTTAAAGAAGGGGAAAAATAATTAGTTAAGAATAGAAGTAAAAAATGAAAAGAAAAATAAAAAATAACTTGTGTCAATTAAATGATGGTAGACTTTGCTTTGTTTAGGCTTTTTTTGGATAGTCATTCATTCACTCCCTCAACAAATATTCATTTTGTACTTTATATTTTTTATGGGCACTTCTGGGTACTGGAGAGTGCTATCTAGCTATAGGGGACACATAAAATAGTAAGTGTGCAGAATGAAAAAAAACAACTAAGTTGCCCTAAAGTTGAGAAGTCTCTTCACAGAAGAGGTGACATTTCAGCTGGAATACAGGTATGAGTTTAATTTGGGGAGAAGAGAGACAATACTCCAGACAGAATTTCCAACACTGTAAAATTCAATTGAGTCTATGTTCTATGTTGCTAAAAGTGTATGTGTGTGTTGAGGAGTGAAGGGGAGGGAAAGGGCTATGGGCCAAGCCTTTATACCTATACCATTCATGGAACTTATGTGCATATAAGGACAGCTGGGAATGGCTTGGTCAACTGGACAGATATAACTACAGATAAAGAAAATCATTACAAAGGTTGATAAAAATTCAACCTTGAATAAAAACCAAGCCTTACAATTCTAATAATGATGTCTATTATCAAAAGGCACAAAAGTATTTCATGTCCTCTAACTAAAAAAAAAAAATTGAAGTAGAGTTTATACAGACATAGTCAGTCCCAACTAAAAATCTATGGTCCAAAATTGGCAACTACTATAATCATTATTATGTAATAAATACATATGTGGAAGTTTTCTCAGAAAAACTGGAGTTGATGTAAGGAAAATTATTACTATAGTAATAAACATATACGTGGAATCTGTGTCCTAAAATATAAACTAAGCCAGAGGGCAAAAGGTGACTGAGTAAAGTCAGATTTAGCAAATGAACAAAAATGGAAAGAACTTACCTTAAACTATATTTCTAAATAGTTACGTGGTCAAGGAAGGAATGTATAATGAAGGAATATAAATTAAGGGCTCACAGATCATTTGGTCTCTTCCTCCCTTTTGTTCTCCCTTTTCTGCTGATAGTTCTTTTTCATCGTTTCTTTTTTTTTGAGAGAGAGAGCACAAGCACATGTGCACAAGTGTGGAGAGGGAACAGAGGGAGAGGGAGAAAGAGAATCTTAAGCAGGCTCCATGCTCAGCTGGGAGCCCAGTGTGGGGCTCGATCTCACCACCCTGATATCAAGATCTGAGCCGAAATCAAGAGCGGGACACTTAACCAACAGAGCCACCCAGGCTGTGCCCCTTCATCACTTTTAAAGAGATTTCAGAGATCCTCATTCCAATAGTTTCCCTTCAATTTTACTGTGCCAATAAAGCTCTGCAAATAATCCTCTACAAAATCCCATACATGAAACAAATACATAATGCTCAGGCTCAAAGTTATTTCAGGGAGAGTGGGGTTACTGGAGCACCCTAACTTGGCTACCACTTGGGCCTTTACCCACCAACCCCCTGAGACAGCTCCCCCAAAAGCCCTGAATTTTCCTCAGTAGAGTGTGTAATATGCTGTTCCTTGTTCAACCCTCTCAATTTACAAATGAAGAAATTGTACCCTAGAGAGTTAATTTAAGTAAGTTGTTTGAGAAAAAGTCCCCTGTTTCCTGGTACCTCTGCTGAAATAAAATACTTTATCTTCCTCATAAACTGTGATTTAAATTTCTGGGTTAAAAATAATTTCTTATATGTTACAAATTCATGCAATCCTCTATCAAAACTCAAAATTCAGGACCAAATACTCTGCTGGGGACTTGTCATCTGTTTTCATTTAACCATCACCAAATCCCCAGATCAAGAAACTGGGTTGATTTTTTTTTTTAAGATTTTATTTATTTATTTGAGAGACATAAAGAGAGACAGCCTGCAAGCTAGAGAGAGCATGAACAGAGGAGGAGGAGAGGGAGAGGAAGAAGCTGACTCCACACTGAGCAGGAAGCCCTACTTGATCCTAGGACCCCGGGATCATGACCTGAGCCTAAGGTAGACGCTTAACCGACTGAGCCACCCAGGCGCCCCAAGAAACTGGGTTCAGAGAAGTATTCTTTCCCAAGGTCACAGAGCTAGCAGAATAGAATGCTGTTCTACTTGACTCCAAAGGCCAAACCTCAGACTCTTGCATCCTTTCTAATCCACACCTTTCCCTAAGCTTTGCCTATCTTTATACAGGCTCCCAGAAATACAGAACCTTAAGAGATCCTGTCATTTTACACAGGATGTACTTTTCTATCCACGCTTGTCAGAAGAGTGCCTCATGCTTCAGCCAAGCACAAAGGCATCAAGCCTATTTTAAAATTCTAAACTCAAGTTTCAGAACCATACAGATGCTAACCCCCACCCTCAAATCTTGACTTTCTTCTACAACTTCCTCTACAAGCATGGGTACACATATGTTCAGTCTTATGGAGAATAAGAATGGTTAAAAACTCTTAATCAAAGGGCTACAAAATCAACTTTGAGCTAAGCAAGAGATGACAGCCTGGCGTTTTAGGCTGAATACTAAATACTATCTAATAAGATATTGGAAATGTGTATTTAGAGGCTGCTTAGGGACAAAGAATGACTGTCACCATGGAGTAGGAGGCAGAGTTGGCATTAAATAATTTTCATTTGACGGGGGGTCAGGGAAATTTGAATTAGGGCATCCTCTGGGAGAAGAAGTTGAAGTGACTGTCATAGCCAATTACAGAAGAGAGTGTGGAACCAGGATTGATACTAAATTATTGGTAACGGGAGGAGAGATTTTAAATATAACTGAGATTTGATGCCACCCTCTGGAAGCTGTGAGCCAAAGATCGGACAAGTCCTAGGCATTAGGGGTCTGAAATTCCGGGTGGGCTACGGTGCCTAGGCCGGGGCTATTAGGCCGGGGACTTCGAAACCCCATCTTCCCCCACGCCCACCCCGCCCCGCCTTACCTTCTGTTCGATGTAGTTAATCGAGTACTTCTTGGCAACAGTACCGCGGGATGTGAAACTGGTTGACCAACGCAGGCTGCTGAGGGCCTTCATGGCCGGCGGTACACGGATGGCGGCCCCAGGCGTCAGGAAAGTCAAGAGCAGGAGCAGGACGGTGGGACGCCCCATGGCTCAGGCTGCCGGCTGCAGTGCGGATGGGAGCGAGACCCGCAGATGCCTGAAGCTAGACCCGAGCCCAGCCCGCAGCTCCGCCCACCGCAGATAAGCTCCTCCCCGGTGAAACCCAAAGCCGCTCCGCCCCGCAGCAACGCCGCCTAAACCGGATCACCCAAACCACACCTTCCCCGACCCCGAGGGCGCCGCATCTTATCATGTTCCTCTCGTGCAGTCCCCTCTTTAGAGTCCAGCTTCACTGCGGTCACAGACCAAGTCGACCCTTACCATCCGAGGACCCCCTCCTACCTGACCGCCGGAATCCCATCCTTTCCTAGAGCGCTCCACAAGCCCACCTTTCCTGCCATTCCCTGTCCGCCTCAATGCATTGCCACACCCCTTGCCCTCCGCAAACCCCATATGATAATAATAACAGCTACCATGACAATTTCTTGAGCGTTCTCTACATGTCACTATTATCGCTAGGCATGATGGAACACACATCAACTCATCTAACTTAAGCATCACAACAATCTGTGTGTCGTGAATGATTGCTACTCCCATTTACAGAGGAGGAAACTGAGGCCCCGAGAGAGGTGTAGGGACTTGCACTGGGTCACTCAGGAGGCAGGGATGCACGGCTCCGCAAACCGCTCGGTCTGGCTCCTTGCACCCCACTTCCATTAAGTCAGCCAACCACTTCCTGTGGTACTCTGTTCATGGATCACCCCAAACATCCGTGTTGCCCACATAATCCATCCCTTAACTGGAGTCGCCGGGGCCCAGATAGCCCCCGGATCCCGTTAGGTCCTGGTCCCTTCTTCCAAGATACGCCCCCTTTCTTCACCCGGCTCGGGGTAGCCCGCTTCAGGCCCCGCTTCCACACCCCTTCTGTCTTCACCGCGCCACCAACCCCTTTGCCCAGCTTCCTTCCACTCCTTCCAGTCACCCTGCTGAAACCCGACTGTAGGGGCGCTACCCCCCCTTCCTGGGATCCCTACGCTACCCCCAAAACCAACTTTGTAGACTTTGCCATTACTCCACCAGAGAAGAACATTCGCCAAACCCTGTCTCTACCCACAATTTGACGAAAATGATCGTTCCCCAAAACTCACAGAATGCAGTATTCAATCTCCACCCTCGGCGGCGCCTTCTTCTGATTGGCTGTGAGGAAACACTGCCAAAACGTCACTTCCGGCGGAAAAGGACGCGGGAGATTCGATTGGGAGGCCCCTGTCTTGTCGCGAAGTCCTAGGGGTCTGTGCCATCGAGCGTCGCCCGGGCAGGTCTCGGTCTTCTGCCTCAGGTGAGGAGCTGTGGGAAGAGATTCTCGGGGCGCGCAAAGGGCGAGACTCCTAACGAGGTCCTCAGTGTCGTTATAAATGAGAATGAGAGCATTCTATGTTTTTTTTTCAGGAGTTAGTCTTTTCTGTAAAAGGGTCCTGAGAGTAAAGAGGGAAAAGGTCAGTCATTTAACTGTTAGGCAGCGCTGTTGATAGAGTTCAGCGAGCGTTTACTCATCATTTACTACGCCATCGAGCTAGATGTGGGTGAGCGTCTGGAACCGGTAATAGAAAGAGGAAAAGCACTACTCCAGCTTTTGAGGTGCTCAGAGATAGGGATTTTGCAGGCTATGCAGAGTAATGCGTGCTGAAAAGGGGTCTTTTCCAAACGGCTTTGAAGGCCTAGAGAAAAAAGTGCTTATCTATCAGTGTACTCAAACCGGAAACTTCAAAGTGTCTAGATTCCTTCCTTATCTCATATTCAGCTAGTCATTACCAGCCTCTTGAATATCTCAAATCCATACAATTCTCGCCACTTTTTTTTTTAAGATTTTATTTATTTATTTGAGAGAGAGAGAGAATGAGAGAGAAAGCACATGAGAGAGGGGAGGGTCAGAGGGAGAAGCAGACTCCCTGCCGAGCAGGGAGCCCGATGCGGGACTCGATCCAGGCACTCCAGGATCATGACCTGAGCCGAAGGCAGTTGCTTAACCAACCGAGCCACCCAGGCGCCCCAATTCTCGCCACTTTTAACACCAAGACTGCTACATAGGTAGGTGACCAGCCTCCCAGCTGGCTCTTACTTCGATTGTGTTACTTTCCAATCCAGTTTCCACATTGCCAGGCTATATGATAAGTTGGTAAGTAGCAGTCAGGGCACTCCCCATTTAAAACCTTTCCTTGCCTCCTATTTGCCCTCAGGTTTAAGTCTAAACTCCTTCACATATTTTACAGGGCCCTTCTCGTCTAGCCTTTGCCTGCCTCTCCAGCTTTGTTTTTCAGTACTCTAGCCCTACGCTCCAGCCCAATGAAATGTCTTTTTTGAGTTCCTCAAATGCACCAACCCACCTCACCTCCAGACCTCTTCTAACCCCATCCCCACCTTGGCCAATTCTTACTCCTTCCTTAACTTTCAGTTTATTAAGCCTTTTAAGTCAGGAAGCCTTTCCTGACCCTGCAAGTTTGGGTCACAAAGTACCTGGTAGGTAGTCATTCTGCAGATAGTTTTAAGTGCCTCCCTTGCCAAGAATTACTAGGTACTGGGATTACACTGGTGAACAAGTTAGATTCCTCACCACATAGAACTTAAACCTTTGATGGATGGAGTTAAGGATAATTAGGGAAACTGTTTGAGTTAGGTTGGTCTGGGATGGCCTCTCTGAGGTCTTAAAACACAAAATTCAGCCAAGTAAATTCAAAGATCTAATTAGCTTTATTAAACGATTTTGGTAGCATATTACCTACTGAGTATAAGGGAGCTCCGAAGAGGTGTACAAAATAGGTTTTTATAGGAAAGAGGGTGGGGTGAGAAGGTTATTAGCAAAAGAAAGGATTGTTCCAAGCAAGGTCACTCTCCCTCTGGGGGAAGAGCAAGGAGTCTTATCATGCTGATTACCTTTGATAGGACAGAGAGAGCTCTTGTTGGCGTTGATCTGGGAAATCCCTTATAGTTCTATATTTCTGAGGGAGGTTGAAAACTGCAGTTAGGTTAGGTAGTAAGCCCCGTTTTGGGGAGTCTGCCTAAATGACTCCGTTTTGGGCCTGTGGTTTGCTTTTTAACAAAGGAGTTGACACTTAGAGTAAGGCCTAAAAGATGAGAATGATCCAGGCATGCAATAGAGAAAAGGAAGAACATTCCAGAATGAATAGGTTGTACAAAGGCCCTAAGGCAGGAAAGAGCTTGGCATCTGAGTGTTCAAGAACTTAAGGAAAGACCAATGCTGCTTGGAACGTATTCAGAAAGGACAGGTGGTGAGATGAGCCTTGAGAGATGGGGAAGGACTAGATCACACAGCTAAGAGCCTAATGCAACAGCAGAAGCAACAGGTGATGGTGGTTTGAATTAAGGTGGTGGCAGATTTATGGGGGAAAGTGGATGGTGGTTTTTAGATATGGAAATAGATCCAAGAACATACAGATGGGTATAATGAGGGAAAAAGGAATGAAAGATGATTTCTAGGTATCTGACCTGACTTAACTGGTTGGAGAGTAGTGCCATTTGCTGAAATGGAGAAAACTGTAAGAAAAGAATGTGGTGTTTGTCCGATCTGATAGGGGCCTCCAGATGTGGGGCAATGACCAGGTGGAAACCAGTGGCACTGGCAGTGAAAGGATTTACCCAAGGCACCACAAAGGAGATAGAAGTTTATTGAATACATCACAAGGGAGTAGCATGCAGGACAGCAAAGGAGAGACCGTCTGCCACAAGAGTGAGTGGGGTTGTATTTAAAGAGAGAAAGTGAAGGAGGTATGGCGTATGGAATTTTTTCTTTTTGGTATTTCGGAACTTTTTGGTAACTGTTCCTGGTTGTAAGTACCCATTGGTCTGTTAGGGCCTATGGATATTTTGAGGTAGGTCGCCTGATGGGCTTGTCTGTATTCAGCCAGGTGGTCACTGTGGGCCCTTTTGCCTTGCTCTGCATTACACTGCTCAAGGCTGTTGTCTAAAAGCGGTCTCTACAAAGAAGTTTAAGAGGAAACTAAGAAGTTTTTTACTTATTAAAACTTGAGATGTCTATGAGACATCAAAATAGTTGGCTCTCCATAACTGTCCCCTCCATGTGAAAGTCTGGAGCTTGCAGATATTGTATGTACCTTTGTGTCACTTCCTTAGTAGTTATACATTGTCTTAGCCAACAGTTTATAAATTTCTTGAACACAGGAGCCTGTGTTTTTTATCTGTAACTCTGTCCTCCTCCGCATCCCTAAAACAGTACTTCATCTACCACAAATTCAATGGACAAACTATGGTACTCACTAAGAGTTTTTTGGGTGGTTCTTGGGTTTTTGTTATTATTGTTAGGGGTTTTTTTTGTTTTGTTTTGTTTTGTTTTTTTAAATAGGCTCCACACCCAAAGTGAGGCTTGAACTCATGACCCTGAGATTAAGAGTCACATGCTCTACAGACTGAGCCAGCCCTCAGCCCCTTCTTGGGTAGTGTTTTAAAAGTATTTTTCACCAATATTTCTCCAAATAGGTTTTTTTTTATTTGTTTAATTTTCTGTCTCCTGCCTTCTCCATTCTAGAATTTTCATGTTAATGTCAGTAAATCATTTCTCAAGGACTTGTTATGACTACTTTTAGAAAAATTAGACAAAGTATGCACCTTGAGGGTGACCATTAGGTAGTTTTAAGTGAACAACTCAAAGTAGCTGAGGCCTCTTGGCCTGTATAACATGAAACAGGTAATCTGAGAGCAACAAGGTGACAGATCTTGCACAGCAAGAACAGTTTTGAGAGAATAGAGAACGCCCCAAGATGGGCCACTCTGGCATGAAGATTATTTTGAATTAAAAAGCAATCAAAACCCAGCAGATTCAGGAAAAGCTCTTTACTTCCCCCCATAACTGCATAAAAAGAATTTAGATAGAGAACATCATCCAAGAAGAGAGCTATCACTACAGAGATCTACATTATGATATATAGTAAAGTATGGTAGAAAGGAGAAACCCAGCAAGGCCTGTTTGATCAAAGTCCTCCCTAATTCCCATTGTTTCTGAGTGGCCCAGCAAACATTTGTTTGCCAAACATTTACCCTTTTTTATTTTTTCTGAGGATTTCATGTCTTCCCTTGGAAGTCCTGGACCCCTACCAACTTCTACTTAGTTCGAGATGTCATATGTACCTTATTTTGCCTGAGTTTGGGAAATTTTCAGGTCTGTGTGGATTCCCTGTATGTATGCATGCTATTAAATTTGATTTTCTTGTTAATCTGTCTCATGTCATTTTGATTCTTAGTGCAGCTAAAAGGACCTTGAAGAGGACAGGAATTTGTGTCCTAAACAATGTTAAACAATTAAATTTTTCTCCATGATGTAACATTTAATAAGAATTATTCTAGATTTTCTAGTCTAGCCCAAAGAAGAAGAAAAATTAACGTCAGTGTGTGTGCATATAGGGGCATGTTTTTGTTTTTTAAGATTTTATTTATTTATTTGAGAGAGAGCACAAGAGCGAGAGCAAAGGAGAGAGCTAGTGAGGGGAGGGACAGAGGGAGAAGCAAACTCCCTGGGGAACCCAATGTGGGACTCGATCCCAGGACCCTGGGATCATGACCTGAGCCAAAAGGAGATGCTTAACCAAACTGAGCCACCCAGGTGCCCATAGTTTTTCATATTAAGGTGCCATCCAGGAAATTGGTAGCGAAGGAGTTTAGCTAAAAGTTCTCCAGATAATAGAGCAAAGATTTGGGTCACCTGGCTAGCTCAGTCGGTTAAGCATCTGCCTTCGGCTCAGGTCATGATCCCAGGGTCCTGAGATAGAGCCCCGCATCGGGCTCCCTGCTCCCTGGGAAGCCTGCTTCTCTCTCTGCCTGCTGCTCCCCCTGCTTGTGCTCTCTCTCTCTGTCAAATAAATAAAATCTTAAAAAAAAAAAATAGAGCAAAGATTTACAAAGTCATCTGAAAGAGACTATAATGCTCTCAGGCTTTATAATTTAACTATAACCACAGTCACAAGTGTTGTTTACCATCAGACAACCTCAGTGGCTAGGCCAGTGGTTTTCAAGTGTGGGCGCCATAAGCATTATCTGGGAACTTGTGAGACATGCAAATTCTCTGGCCCTCATCCCAGACTTACTGAATCAAACTCAAGTTGGGGCCCAGAAATCCATTTTATCAGGCCCTCCTGGTGATTTTGATGTACATTTAAGTTTGAGAACCACTTGGCT